GAACTTGCTAACTAAAATGTAAACACGCATCTATGCTTACGAGAAATATTTAATCAAAAGAATCCCATACATCCACATCTCTTGGTAAATAATCACATTGTGATTTGCTGTTATCACAGCCCAGAGCACAGCACAGCAGACTGACGGAATTGCAATTCGGTCCTACAAATGGCGGCCGCACCACTGTGTGACGTCACATGAAACCCATGAATAAATGTCTAACTGGCATTATTTGAGATAAAATACCAATGCAACACATGTTTCTAGAGCTTTCCTCAGAACTAGCTTCACTGGGTCCGTCAGTGACAAACAAACATGTCGGAGACCACGAAAAAGACTAATCTGTTTTAAAACATCTGAACAGTTCTTAGTTCACAGAAATATGTTTTTTATATATATACATGTTGGTTTTGAAAAGCATTTACATCATTTTCAACAAGTCTTAATTTAATTAACTCAAGTAATGAGGACCAGTGTTACGCATTACAAGTAACGCGAGTTACGTAATCAGATTACTTTTTTCAAGTAACTAGTAAAGTAACGCATTACTTTTTAATTGTCAAGATCATATCGGAGTTACTTTTTCAAACGATTTAAAAAGTAACGCAAAAGTAACGTAAAGCATTACTTTCCATAAAAAGTAACACAATTAGTTACTTTTTTATGGAGTAACGCAATATTGTAATGCATTACTTTTAAAAGTAACTTTCCCCAACACTGGTGAGGACACATCAGTTTAGTGTAAATCAAGATAGATAGAATGTGTTTTTGAACATAAATCATGAGTTTTTCTTGATGTTTTACCATTTATTTACCTTCAAATAAGCTTGTCTTGTCAAGAAAAAAAAAGTCACATTTTCTGATATTGTTAAGAGACTTACTTTCAGTCTACAAGGGTCCCGTTTATGGTTTTCTTGTCACTTGACAGCAAAATGGCTCCCTGAATATTCTTTATGACATTATTTAAATGTAAACTATTATATTTTAAAACATTCTTTCTATCAATCTCTCTCTCTCTCTATTTATAAATATATACCATTAATATTTTAAAACTTTATTTTAGAAGTTATACATTTTTTCAACATTTAATGGGACCTTTTCTGTCATGGTATCAAATAAATTAATATATATACATAGTTATTATAGTTAACTGAAACAAACCATAAAACATTTTTGTTAACTGAAATAAAATAAAACAAATTAAAATTCTTATTTAAATTAATTTAGCATTTTCATTTACTTTATCTTAATGTATTAAAATAACTAAAACTGAAACAAAAGTAAGAGAAAAAAAACTATATAGACATTTAAAACGACAGAAACTAGAAAAAAATGACAAAAACACAAAATTACTAAAACTTTATTTTGATAAATTAAATTGATAAATTAAAATATTAACAAAACAAAAACATTCAATCTCGTGTTTCTTTTTTTTTTGTTTTTTTTTGGGGAGAAATAATATTTGATTATTTTTAAGTACTTGCATTTAATAAGTAAACATTTATGTTCAACCAGAAATTAGGACAGTTTAACATACACAAAATATGAGCCAGACCAGCATTTAAAAATAAATCATTTATTTTAAAAAAGTGCAAATCCAACAAATGATACATTAGAATTTTTCCCTTGCGCAACTCGAGACAGAACAGAGATCCAAACATTAATTAATTTAAAGTTTATCAGGTCGTACTATAAATGTGTTGGGGGGGCTTCTAGCAGCAAAACCAAAAGAAATCCGAGTTACGGGATGTGACATGTTTCTAGAAAGGGGGCGGGGCCAAAAAAATCACACCACGTATATAAAGAAAGACATCAGAAA